CGCTCTTCAAGAAAGCAACTTTGGATCCTATGGAACCTTTCAATTACCTCGCAGTTTTCAATATTTCATTTCTGGGTAAGGTAATTGAGAGAGGGGTGGCAGAACAGCTCCAGAATTTCCTGTATGACACATCGGTGCTGGACCCATTCCATTTCTGGTTAAGCTCATATCTGTGGTGGCTGGGGTCCTGTTATCTTCTCCCCCCTTTACCCATGAAAGTGGAAACATTAACCCTGACAACTCAAGATTTTCCCTAGTTCAGGATGGATTTTCCCCCCAAGATCAACTTCAAGTATAGGCTAATGTGGTCTGAACTTACTGAAATTGCCCCGCCCGCGTACCTCACCCGGGGGAACTGCGATCCCCCGCGATCCCCTCCGAAATGACCTCTGGTGTTAGGGATTATTAGGGCTGTTATTGTAATTATCCAAGCCTTCAGATATGTCTGTCTTGGTTCTGAACTGTTGCTTTGAGGCTGTAGTTAGATGGCTAAGGCAAAACAAACTGAAGCTGAATCCAGACAAGACAGAGGTAGCACTGCTTGGGAAGGCTGATATTTCAAGAAGGACTAAATCCACTTGTCCTAAATGTAGTAACACTGACCTCTTCAGAGCAGGTTAAGTGCTTCGGGGTGCTCACAGACCCTGCCTTACTATTTTAGAAGCAGGTTGGCATTGTGTTCAGGAGTGCCTATCTGATTCACCAACTTTCTTGTTACCTAGACTCAGCTGATCTGGCCATGCTGATTCATGCTTCTGTAACCTCACAGCTGGATTACTGCAATGCACTCTACATGGGGCTGCCCTTGAAGACAACTAGAAACTACAACTGGCCCAGCACCTTGACTACTGTCAGGGGCTAGCTGCAGAGTTGCCTATTTTCCTATTTTCAAATGCCTTCATTGGCTGCCAGTTTGTCTGAGCCATTGGTCCCTTTGACTACCACCCGTCCTAGTTTCCCCGAACTGAAGCAGACCAATAGAATTAAAACAATAACTGGAAATCGCTAGCACTTTAACACTTTACATGATTTTAATATTGTTTTATATTGTTGCATTATTTATTAGGAACTGTATTTGCGTAATTAATTGTGTTTTATGTATTAGGAGAGTTTTTACCCTGTTGTGAGCCGCCCTGAGCCAGCCGAGGCCAGATGGGCGGGATAGAAATCAATTAAAAAAAATAAAAATAAAATAAAGTCTGTTTCCAAGTTTATGTGTTCAGTTCAAGGTGCTGATTATGACCTTTAAAGCTCTTCATGACCTAGGACCTACACAGTTGAAAGATCATCTCCTTCCATATGTTCCTGTGTGCTGAGTACGGTCATCAGGCAGCCATCTGTTGGCTTCCCTACAACTTAGGGTGGCCCATCTGGCAATGACCAGAGCCCAAGCCTTGTCCATTGTGGCTTCTGTGGAATGGGCTCCCTGAGTATCTTCAGGAGGTGTTGTAAAGCCTTCTGTTTGCCAGGGCTTTCGAGGGGGTTTGAATAGCAGGCATCTTTTAAAGGGGGAGGGGGAGGGATTTGGGGCTTGTTATTTTATCTCTGGTTTTAGCTGGGGATGTTTTAACTATTATTGTAACCTGCCTTGAACAGAGAAGAAAGGCAGAATATAAATGTTTTAGTAAATAAATAAATAGCAGTAATGCAGTATGGGCCGTCAATCACCACCAGTAGCTGCTAGCAGCTTAGCCCAGCCAGGGCAATGGGAGCGGGAGAGACGCTGTACGTGCAGCCCAAGATTCCCCTGAGTACTCATGAGACTGCAAGTTCTTGCAAGGCTTCATGGAAATTGACTGAGCATGTGCAGTCTGCTGCACTGCACATCTCTCTCTCTCTCTCTCTCTCCCTCTCTCCAAGGAACAATGCCCTCCTTCTCCAGTTCTGATGCTACGCAAGGCCAAACATGACAGAAGAGATGCTGAGGGCACAGGAATGGATGCCCCTGAACCCCACAGTGTGTTAAACATGGACGCAATGAAGCTTTTTTTTGCCGTCAAGTCACAGCTGACTTATGGCAGCCTCGTGGGCTTTTCAAGGCAAGAGACATTCAGAGATGTTTTTGCCATTGCCTGCCTCTGTGTCACAACCCTGGTATTCCTTGGAGGCCTCCCATCCAAATATTGACCAGGGCTTCCAAGACCTGATGCGATCAGGCTAGCCTGGGTTATCCAGGTCAGTGTGGAAGAAGAGTACAATCCCCGACAACAAGACAAGTAAGTCACACCAAACAGCTGCTATTGCATTTGGCCTGTAAAATGAGAGTACTGTCTTTTATCTAATGTGACAGGGAGCACTTTGTGATAGAGGCATACAATATTGCAGAATTTTATCCCAGTGGGAAACAAGGAAAAGTTACATCTGAAAATTTCTTTCTTAGTGAAACCAGGGAATAATTCAAATTTTTTTTTTTTAAAGGTATTTGGCAAAAGTTAATACCAAACATAACAAATGAAAATAAGATAGCAATAAACAAAAGGACCCAAATTTGACTTTATTCATTTATTTATTTTACATATCCTTTTTTAAAAACAGCAGCACTCTTTTCTCATGCTTCAGCGGTGGAGCCTGCACTATTTGCACAGCAAATTGTTACTGCCCAGCTTCTGTTCTGTTCTTCCTCTTCTTCCATTCTATGGCAGAGTTGAAAAGATATCCAGCTACAAGCAGACAAAACCCGTTACAAAAGATCAAAGAAGACTAAAGTGGTTTAGACGCAAGTCAAAGCCCAAATGCTAATGTTTCAGATGAACTTGCAGTGAACCATATTGTGCATGAAATCATTTTGATCTTGCCCCAACGCTGCATCATCTGAATGTCTGCACTAATGATATCATCCCATATAATGATTGTGTTTAAATACAGGGTTACCAAAAATATCTAATGACAGCATCTCCACATAATAGGAGATAATGGAACATCTAAGTCAGTACAATCGGGCGGGGGGGGGGAGAGCAATACCACAAAACCATCTGAAGTTTCTATTTTGTTTTACAGGAAGTAACTTTGATAGAACATCATGTGCAAACTTTGTTATCAAGCAAGATACAAAATGGGACATATGTGTATGGGAGAACACTCTTCCTGACTTCACTGCACCCATTCCCTGCTGCTACTGGACAAATCACCATGCAGTTAAAAAAAAAAGATACCATCCCCTCGACCCTTGATAGTGGCAAGTGCTGCATCAAAATCAAGAAACAAAGGTGTACCTATGTGCAAAGTTCTGTGCTGCATGCTCGTATCTCTTTGTTGGATTCGAGATTAATAGTTTTAGTGGTTTCCAACTGGATTTTCACTGTGTGAACTGGCAAAATCCAATTCAAAAGTGCACTGAAAGTGGATTATTTAGTGTGTATGTGTGATAGCAGCCACAGTGTTGGAGCTTATGGATGTGCGAGCGGAAACAGCTTGCAGCGAAAGATTTTCACCACCTTCTCCCAGAAGCCTGTGTCAAAATTTCAAAAACCCTCTTCTGAAGGCTAAAGTCTGTCATAAACAAAATGCACCATGGTATGGGGTCTGAAGACTGCAGTGAGGAATGAATTAGGAAAAAATGTCTCCATTCCCTTCTGTTAATGGAGGAACCAAGCTCTTTGTCAACATGAAAGAGACAGAAGTGCTTTTCTAAATTCCCCATCCCCACTGCAGACTCCATGCTGTGGTACATTTTTAGACCCTAACCCTCAGCAGAAGATTTTCAGTGGTCGGCGGCTGGCGGGAGGAAATTCCCCCCACCTCCCCAAACAGTGATGTTGCAGAAGTGGTGTAGGTGCATCAGTGACGCTCTGGTTTGGGGGCAAAACTCTATGGTTTGACTTTACAATAGAGTTTTCCCCAAAACCAGAGCATTGCCCTCGATGTCACTGGCATGCCTATGTCACTTCCGGGTGACTATGCACATCGCACAATGTCCCCCCCCACTCCCAGAATGCCCCCCCAAATTCCCCCGCCAGCATGATGATCGGACCTGGCAACCCTATCTCCAAAGTTCAATCAGAAGCCTTGCTGGGCAAAAGCACTGCCTGACCCTGCCCACTTTCTAAGAACACTTGGCGGATGCCAGAAAAGGTGATTGTTTAGGCAGGCATGTTATGAAGCTGAGACACAGTAAGCAACTGAAGGCCCCGGTCACACAGGAGGATTTGCCCCGTGATACGGACGGGTTGAGGGTGGATTTATTTATTTAATTTATTTAACTTTCGTCTTACTATCCCGCTCTAATCCCCGAAGGGGTCTCTGAGCGGCTATACAGTTATCCATTATCCCTATCTAAGGCCACAATTCATCAGGGGTGGGGACATCCCTACCAGCACCCAGTGGATTAAATCGACGCGATCAGATGCCAACATCTGGCAAGCATCACGCCCCCACCCCCAACCCATTCCTTCCGGCTGAAAATGCAGATTTAAAAGATACCTGCAAAATACTAGTACCTACTTGGAAACACGCAGCACAGGCGGGCGTGTGATCACCGACACGCCCGTATCCCGTGGTATGCGAGGCCCTGCCACACTGCACATGTGCACAACTGCGCAACTGCCTCTCCTCACCCTTCGTCCCATCGCTTCCCCCTCGACATGTGATCATGCCGGGGAGCAAAGGCGGCATGAGTCGGGGGATCTGTCTGATCCTGATGGCGTGCTTCAATTTGCTGCGGCTCTAAAAAGCCGCACTTCTGCCATGGCTTTTCTCGCTAGTGTGACTGGGGCCGAAGTATTACCTGTGACAGTGACAGAACCGTTTGAAAATATTTCATTCATGTTGACAGCTATCATTTTTTTTAAAAAAACATACACCCACAGTTTATAGGTCAACTTAGGAACATTTCTTCCTTTTCATCTTTCCAAAGGATGCAAGCAAAGTCACTTCCAATTTAATGTAGCCAGAGAAAAGAAGCTATTTCTAAAGCAACCTCACAAACATTCACTTTTAGAGAATGCTCTAGATATCCATGTTGGCAATATCTTCTAAATGGCAACTATCCTTGCAAAACCTTTAACATGAAACAACAACTTTGAACAGAGCAAGATTTTTCCCCAGGAGAATAATAATAATAAAACAAAAATTATGCAAGCTGCTTAAAATATTATATACAGCACTCCAGGAAAACTGATTTCTGGGAACACATATCAGGCCATTTCACACATTTGTTTTAATAATCATTTGGGAGATACAAACAGATAACATGCCTAGATGAGAACCCTAGTATTTCAAGCAAAGCTGTTTTACCACCAGTAAAAAGTTAAAACCAGACACTGAAGAATTTTTGTTACTGAGTGGGATCATTTGTCAATAGAAATGATGAATCTAAGAAAAAATCCATTTAAGGCAATAGTCTCTAGGAAAAAAAAACTTTCCTCTTTCCTCATGAAAGACTTGAAACAGCCCTGAATGTCCTCTATGCAGTGAGGAGGAACACCTGTGAAAGGTCCACGTAGAAAATGCTTGAGCTTTAAACACTTTAAAGGGGAGGAGCCGTGGCTCAGCATGAAGGAAGTCCCTAGCCTCTCCAGTTAAAAAGATCAGGTGGCAGATGATGTGAAAAATCTCAACCTGAAGCCCTCAAGAGCCACTGCTAATCTGAGTAGACAATACTGGCTTTGATGGACCAAGGCTCTGATTCAGTAAAAGGCAGCTCCATGTGTGCCTACTTAGCACACATCTATTACAAATGTTCTGAAAACAAAGGTGAAGAATTATCACACAGTGCTAGACTCGATCTTGTCCTGTGTTCTTGGAGTAGAAAAAGATACAGAGGTCATCCCACAGAATACACAGTTGAGTTTCATCTCCCATGTATTTCAGGAACAGTCAACCTTACGTCCAGCAAGATCACTCATTTTCTTCATGCACACTGACTCTGGGCTGACAAAAATTTAACACAGGATAAATGAGTGAGCCATGAAAGGACAGTGTCAATAGATCCTTACTGGATCACCACAGAGAAGCAATTAAATGCAGGCTTATCGTACTCTGCTGTGTTTAAGAAACATAAGGCATCCAGTGGTGAGTTGGCAGAAAAGGATTTACCGGAGCAGAACTATAGAGTAAGAGGTCAGGCAGACCACCGCAGCTTCATTCATTGTGTCAGCAGGTTACAAGCCTCAAAGCCTAAGGGTAGGAATTGAATCTAGCTAGCTGTCATTTAGGTAAATACACATTTGATTAATTCAAAGTGCAAAGTGACTCAAGAAAATACTGACTGGCTCTTGGCATCTTTCAGGGAAAGGAGTTCCATAAGCCTGTCCTTAAACCATTGCTTTGTCCCTGCAATAATGTCTCAGGATAGTTGGGCATTTATTCACTGATGCCCATTCTTAATCTGACTGCGGTGCTTTATGGGGAAATATCATCCTGGTCTCTGCTGCTTCAGTTCCCTGCCCTGGTCACTGGATAATTCACCTTACTTTCCTGGAAGCCCCACTTACATGCAACTAAGACCAACTCCTGATCTCATTTTCTGCCTGCTCTACCTGGCTGCTTTCTATTCTTGATCCCTGAAAGCCAGTCTCCGAGTTTTAGAACATTCATGTACCATTCAGAGTCAGTTTGGTGTAGTGGTTAAGTGTGCGGACTCTAATCTGGGAGAACCAGGTTTGATTTCCCACTCCTCCACTTGCACCTGCTGGATGACCTTGGGAAAGCCATAGTTCTGGCACAGCTGTTCTTGAAAAAGAGCAGTTTCTGTCAGATCTCTCTCAGCCCCACCTACCTCACAGGGTGTCTGTTGTGGGGAGGGGAAGGGAAAGGAGTTTGTAAGCTGCTCTGAGACTCCCTTGGGTAGTGAAGGGCGGGGTATAAATCCAATCTCTTCTTCTTCTTCACTGACAATGAATCCATTGTACTTGAATTAAGACCATGTCTTCTGCTTGCCAGCTACAAGAGTTGCAAAGAGCAAATATGGATGGCCATTGGCCAAATAATAAAATGACCATGGCATGCCCTTGGTAAAATGGTTAACTGACTGTGGAAAGAATTTTCAGAAATATAGGTGGTTTGGGTTTAAAATGAACCAAATAGTCCATAAAATCCATGTACCTGTTCCTGTCTTTGCCCTTGCTAGCAGACAGCCTTGGCCTGTTTGACTCAAACCCCATAATTCTTTGCAAGCTCTTGGCTCTAAAACGGAGCATTCCTCTCAGTGGACTCAACAGCTTACAACATTCCATTCCAAGCCCCAGGTGCGAGACTTAAAGCCAGTTTGGGAAGTAACAGACCCCAATTTCCTAGGCCATAAAACACACATCTCAGAGTTAACATCAAAAGGACAGTTTACTTCCCATATTGGGGAACACCTGGAAGAAACAATGACACTGTATTGATCCTGTAAAATGTGTACACTTTTGTTGTGTGAGACCAAGGAAAGGAAACAAATTTCCTGCAAGACAATTCCAACTTCTAAGTGTTAAATTCCAACTGTAATATGATTATCTAGGGACCCCTTTGATCTTGGGTATAAATACTGGTCAGTTACAACAGACCCCTACTGACTCCTGTTAGGAGTCAGTCAGAGAGGCCTCTCGTCCGCGCATGCATGGGGTGGGGGAAACTTTGCTGCATGTTTATTTTTCTGTGTATTCCATCAATGCTTAGGAAATAGGATTCTACTGTGTGGCAGGCTGGCATAGCGTCTTGCGGTCATCTTGCCAGACAAATCTCTGAATGTTTTTCTATAATAAAGATAAGTTTTATTTTAAGAAGAGACCTTTGAATGTCTCTGCTAGAGCCTTAGTGATTTCCAAGCTTACACTTCTGCCTTAGGTAAGGAGGCAAACACACAGGAGACACACGAACTGAGGGGGGAAAATGTGGGTGACATGGGTAAACACGCTTTCACAAACACGTGCAATCACCCACATTTTTCTTACAACACTGACCCCATACCCATATGACTAAGCTACCCAACTGTGAGCTCTCTCATACTAGGGTATCGCCCTACTAAGTGGTAAGGAAATTTTTGCTGCTTCCCTTCTTCCCCAGCTATTTTAAAATCTGTTATAGAAGTGTGGTAAAAATTTACCATGCTACATGAGAAATTTATGTGCTGGACTTCCGGTTGATGGCAGCACGCTTGCGGACTCACCTCCCGGACCTCCCGGGGGTGTCTCCATGCTCCGGCGGAAGGAGGGGGCGAGCAGGCTTGTACACCCCCCCAGGGGCCCGGTGAAGGGACCCTGGCCAAGGAGCTTTGAGGGGTAGCCTCTTCGATGGCGGAATGCCAGAGAATTGAGGCGCCCCTTCGCTTCAGTGGTTCTTCCAGCCGAGAGACCGAATGGTACAAGTGAAGCTAACCGGGTCAAGCACAGGAGATCGGGCGTGAAAAATGATGAAAGAAGCGTGGTCAGAAGGCCAACTATGAACATGAGTCAACTGGGAAATGATTTTTGAAAGAAAAGACACTCCCTACCCTACTCCGTGGAATGGGAAAAGCGAGTGAGGGGGACGCCTCCCATGCGCATAAACTGTTGAGCGAAAGGGGGGGAGCAGAAGAGAAATGTGATTAAATTGCCCAGAAGTACTTACCCAATCGAGCTAAGCAGTCAAGCGCATATTCAGAGACTTTTAAAAACTTTCCGAAAGTAAACAAACGGGAAAAAGATGGCGGGGAAGAGGGACAAAGACAAAGAAAGACTTTTGAAAATGAAACCAGAGTCCCCTAAGCCGGAAACGACCAGTGAGACGGCAAAGGCTATAGCTGAGTTCATGCGCCCTCTACTGGAACAGCTGAATAACTTCAAAGAGCAGATGTCCGTAGTAACACAGAGCATTTCTGCACAACAAACGCAAATAACTGATCTGATCCAAGTAACGAAGCAGGATGCTGAGAAAGTAAAGGAAATGGCTGAATCAATGCAGAAAGTGAAGAAGAAAGTGCAAAAATTGGAAAAGAAAACCTCTTCTTTGGAAGATCAAATGCTTCAAGTGCAAATGGATAAGGCCAATATGGTCCTGCGCTTCCAGGGGGTGCCAGAGAACAAAGGAGAGAATCTTAAAGAACTTATGAGCGAATGACTTGCCCCAGCAACAGAAATAAAGGCGGGCTTGCTACTCAATGATATGGATGTGGCCTACAGGTCATATTCAGGATATATAAAGAAAAATAATCTGCCTGGGGAAATTGTAGTAAGATTCTCAAAGAGGCACATCAGGGATGCTATCCTGAAAGCAGTAGCGGCAACGCCCCTGAAGGCAGGGGAGAATGCTGTGAGAACGCTAAAGGATATTCCATTTGAAGTAAGACAACGCAGAAAGAAATATAAAGAACTTGTGCTCTTTCTCCAAACAAATTCAATTGGATACAAATGGCTATTTCCAGAAGGCGTAACATTTAAGATCAAAGAGAAGAAGGAAAAGATTGACTCTGTTCTGAAAGCTCAAGAATTTCTAAAGGAACAGCTGGGAAGGTCAGAGGACGAGAAAAAAGAAGAGGACAGCAGGTCCAGTGGCGAGCTGGAAACTGGTTCATCTGGCGAGGGCTCTTTGTCTGAGCAGGGGGCAGCAGCCCCGAAAAGTCCCTACAAGTTGTGGAAGAGAAGAGAGAAGAAGAAGTAAAGGCTGAAGGACTCTGAATTGTGCCTTTGAGAACTTTGGTTCCTGGGGATGATTGGGGGCACTGTTATTGGGCAGTTAAATGTAAACTGGGAGGGTAAAAAGTTTTAAAAGTTTGACACAGTTCATAAAAAGAAAAAAGATGAAAAGGCTGGATGTATAAAAGCTAGT